AGGGGGGGGGGGGGGGTTAAGTGGTCTGTATATACTTGTAGAACTATAGTAACAGCTCAGCTGCAAGTCTGCAGCTGTACTGTGACGGGATTTTTTTAATGACAAGTCAGATTTAAAATGCATGAAAACAACATTTAAAAGGATATTAACATCACAAAGCTTAGGTTAATTAATTTTAAGCAATTCAAAATAGCAATAGAATAGCAATAGAAATATTTTAACTGACTTGAGTGAAGTAAACTGAAAGAAGATCAGTTGCTATAAGTTACTGTACTCTGCACATTTTCATTGTACTTTGCACTGTCTAACTGAATAAACATCATAGTGTTTACATAGTTGTATAATCAGAAGTCAACAGAAAAAGTCAGCGTTTCAAAGTTTGGTCATGGCCCATAAAAATAGTGTAAGCGCCAGCTGTAGAAGAGAGCGGGAGGGAATACATAACGGAAAACATGACTGGAATGCCGTATCTCATGTAACAGTTTATGCAAGCTGTAATAACATTTTGCAAATATCTTTGCATTGCTGAACTTGGCCCTTCTATCTGCTTTGTCTGTTCGCTAGCCAGCGCCTTGCAGTCTCCAATGTGGTGGACCTGGGGGCCTCAACCTGGGAGCTATTAAACTCCCATCCCATCCCTGTTACACTAGTGAGTACAGATGACTCTTTCTTGGATTCTGTAGCCCAGCTGAGCCTATAACTACTACTGGTGACACTTGAGGGCCTATGCATAACTCTTTCAACCAGCCATATGCTGGGCGAATGCCGTTTGGATGGGATTCCCACTAGATGTTGTTGGGGAGCATAGGAATTTTCACTCCATCTAGTGGCAGTGTGAACTGCATTAGCCCAGATATGGCTGGGCAGAAGATTTATTCATTGGTCTCTGCGTATCCTAGCATGGTCAATTCTTAGTTCTTCTTCTATACAGTCAGTATATAAGTCCTGCCAAGACCTTTTTATGGGGATACTATGAGGAAGGGTTAGAAGAACAAGTCAGGTTCTACTGCTGGCAGTAGAGACCCCTTTCTGTTCTAGGAGGAAATAATTCCCTCTTGTCTTGTGTATTTACCTTAAACTGAACAACTTTCCGGCAATGTTTACAATATGGGCTATTTGTGTTTTTATACAAGGTCATTTATGATTTGTATCTTCTCTGTAGTTCCTGTCTCAGCTCATGATCTTCATGATAAGCATTGTGAGCTCCATATTCTGTGGACATCTGGGGAAGGTGGAGCTAGACGCCGTGTCACTGGCCATTGCGGTACGTTCTGATAAAATTAGAATGATTCTGTATTCTATATAATATGAAAAGGGTTATTTAAGGATCAAAATTGAAAATGTGTCCATTATTGTTAGGTCTAAAGAGGGACTTTTCTTATTCTATTTTAGTGTATTGTTATGGCCTCAGGCACACACAACGCAAGAGCAAAATTGTATATTGCGTATTGCAATCCAAGAATGCATAATTCGTAATAGAAATTTTAATGAATGGTAAGCGCGCACACACACGCGTGTATGCGCGTAAAACACACAGAAATACGTTGCCCGGACGCATCTCGCGTCCATTCTGTTTTTGCGCATCTTTATGCAGTGCAAATATACGGCTCCATACGCAGGTATGTGTATGGAGCCATTTATTTGCATATGCTGCATATAGGACAATACGCGCATCTACGCAGCGTATTGTACTGCAGTGTGAACGAGACCTATGTATATCACTGTAACATGACCTGAGAAAGAATGAATGGAAACCGGGGAACCTGTCTTAAGTCCCCCCGCACCTCATGGGATTGTGTCAGCCGCCAGTTTCTTGACCCCCCCCCCCA